TGGCAGATCTACCTGCATGATAATTGCAATACTCTAGGGGTGAGGTGATAAAGGCCTGTATAGAGTGGTAGCAATATCATAGGAGAGAAGGGGGAATACTTGAGAAATGTTGCAGAGGCAAAATCAATAAACCTTGGCAAAAGACTGAATATGGTAAGGAAGGAAGGCTTTGAGAAAATGAAGCGGCAAATATGATACTTAAGCTGTGAGCCTGAGGCGCTAGGAAGATGCTGCTGCCCTCTATAATGAAAGGGAAGGTAGGAAGCAAGGAAGGTTTAGGGGGAAAGATAATGAGTTCTTTTTTAGACACTACGAGTTTAAGATGTCTCCTGGACATTCCATTTTGTGCTAAAAACCTTACAAAGTATAAGCCTAGAGCAGGGGTGAGGAACCTGCGGCCTTGAGGCCACATGTGGCCTTCTAGGTCCTTGGGGTGGCCTTTTGACTGAGTCCAAGTTGTAAAGAACATATCCTCTTATAAAGGGGATCTGTTCTGCAAAGTTTGGATTCAATCACAGAGTCACATGTAAGGCCCCAGGTTCCCCACCCCTGGCCTATAGGGACCAAAAGCAAACATTATATGCAATTGGAATACCCTAGAGCCTTTCCCAATAAACACAAAAGGGAAGCAAAGATCCCCACTCTCTCTACTATTATTTGACATAGCACCGGAAATGTTAGCAATAGCAATAAGATAAGAGAAATGAATTAAACAAATAAAGATGAGTAAAGAGGAGAAACAACTACCCCCATTTTCAAATGACATGACAGTTTACTTGGAAAACCCCAAGGAATCAACAAAGATACTGAGAAAATGGATAGCTTCAGCAAATTTGCAGGCTACAAAATAAATCCTCAAAAATCAACTATATTTCTATATAATAATTATAAAAAAGAGAAAGCAATAATAGCAAAGGAAATCTCATCCTAAATTACAACAAAATGTACTAAGTATCTACAGGTCAACCTCTAAATGCACACAAAAGACTTATATAGATTAAATTGCAATATATTCCTTAAAGAATCAAAGAACAACCTAAATAGCTAGAGGAAAATTCTGTATTCATGGGTAGGCAGATCATGCTAATAACATAAAAATGAGAACACTACCAAAATTAAGTTACACTTTTAATGCTACACTAATCAAATTGCCAAAAGAATATTTTATAGAGTTTTATAAAGTAATAAAATTAATTTGGAAAAACAAAAGATCTAGAATATCAAGAGAAATGATGAAAAGAAGTAAGGACAAAGGGGAATAGCATTTCCAGACTTCAAGCTATATTATAAAGTAACAGTCAGTCATCAAAACCATCTGGTATGTGTTTAAAAAAAAACCTAGAGAGATAGATCAATGGAATAGACTAGACAATGGAGACTGAGAAACAATAGAACTCAATAACACAATGTTTGATAAAGAGGAAACATATTACCTAGGGGAAAACTCATCATTTGATAAAAACTGCTGGGAAAACTGGAAAGCAATCCAGTAGAAAACGGGCTTAGACCAACCACACATTCCACAATATATTCTAAATGGATGCAACCTTAAAATCAGAGTTCATACTATTAAAAAAAATTAGAAGAAAAACAGATCATGTGCCTCTCACTGCCATGGGTAAGAGATGTAATCTGAACCAAACAAGAGATAGAAGCAATTACAAAAGACAGAATAATTGATTACTTGAAGCTGAAAATCCTCTCTGCAGAGACAATATTGATGTGACTAGCATATGGGAAGTGATCAGATAGATGGAGGAAGCAAAACAAAAACTTCATGTCAAATTTCTCTTATAAAGTTTTGGTGTCCCAGATATGTATTTAATAAATATGAATTAGATTAATGGCCATTCCCTAAGAAATATGAACACAGTTCTCAAAAGAGGAATTGTGAAGTACTCATCTCCACATGAAAAAAAGTGCTCCAAATCACAATAATAATACAGAAATTCAAATCAAAACAAGTTTGAGGTTTTACCTCACACCCTGCAAATTTGCAAAAATGACAAAAAAGTCATTGTGGGAAGATAGGTACACTGATACATTGTTGGTGGCTCTATGAAATAGTGCATCCATTTTGGAAAGCAATTAGGAATTATGCAAATAAAGTGACTGAAATATACATATACTCTGAAACTCCATTACTGGGTTTATACTCCAAGGATGCTATCAATAAGAAAAAAATCTCCATATATTCAAACAAAAGATTTATAACAGCACTTCTGGAGATAGCTAAGAATTGGAAATAAAGTAGACGCCCATCAATTGAGAACTGGCTAAACAAACTGTGGTAGGTGAATGTAATGGAATATTATTGTACTATAAGAAATTACTTGTGATGAATACAGCTTAGCATGAACAGAGCTACATGAAATGATGTGGAATGAAGTGAGCAGAGCCAAGAAAACAATATACACAGTAACTACAGCAATGTAAATACAAATAACATTGACATACCAATAAATCAAAAATAAATGTAACAAAATTATAAGAATCGGGTGAGACTTGAATGAAGAGATATCAGAAGATATTCCCAAACTACCACTAGGGTAGAAGTGGTGGATACACCTATGCAATAACACTAATGTGTTACACAGGGCAAATGTTTTCTGACTTTCTCAATGTACTGACCACTTATGCTAATTTTTCTCCTCCCTAAAAAAACCCTACTATTTGTTCTGTGGGATGGTTGTTAGAGAAGGGTTGAAGAGGCGGAGCCAAGATGGCAGAGTGAAAGCAGTGACTTGCTTAAGCTCTCCCCAAACCCCTCCAAATACGCATAAAAAATGGCTCTAAACAAATTCTGAAGCAGCAGAACCCACAAAAGACAGAGTGAAACAAATTTCCAGCCCAAGACAACTTGGATGATTGATCAGAAAGGTGTATCACGCCGGGCTAAGAGCGCGGTGCAGTGCTGCGTGGGCACACAGGCCCCAGGGAACCTGGAGCAGGCCTCAGAGGACTGAATCACGGGCAGCTGTGGAGGTTTCCAGACTTCTCAATCCACTAATGCCAAAGACAACTTAGAAGGTCAGTGGGAAAAATCTGTTTCTGTAGTGTTGAGAAAGGAAGGCGGGGTCTCAGCTTCATTCCCCAAGAGCGTGGTCCTGGCGGGGGCAGCTTCTTCCCGAGCTTCCAGCCCACAGACTGAGGGGGAATCCAGTGGCTGATCAGAGAGGGATTGCAGGGAACTCTTTGCCAGGGCTGAGGCAGGAATCTCTCGCTTTGCCTGTGTTTGGATCTGGGTCATAGTTCCAGGCGGTGGTGCTGGGGTGAGGAGGAACGCTGGCGTAGTGGAGCTTATAGTGGCTATGGAGAGGAACCCCTCCTCACAGTTACAGGACAGAAAGGAATACTTGTGGTCACAGGCCAGGAAAGAAGTAAACACCTCGCTTGCCCCTTATCATACCACCTTGCAAGAACTGAAAATTTACAGGTCCCTACAAGTATCTCTGAAAACAGCTGTACAAACCCCTGAAGCTTGGGACAGTACATTCTCCACATTGAAAGCAGACTCATCTGCTCTTACAGATTCAATTATCATATCTCTGCCAATAATTATCATTATCATTTACTAAGCTGTCCAGCCTTAATTCTCCCAACTGCTGACTCCCAAAATAATATATCCAGCTCTCATTTCTTTCCTGAAATTCATTTCAAAATTGTCAACTGCCTGCTGCCACTTTCCTTGTGAGTACCCCATAGAGTATATCAATCCCAACAATGTTATTATGTTCAAAACAAAATTCATTCTCTTTTTCCCAAAAAACTATCTCCTCTGTTAAGTTCTTTATTTCCATTTCCATTCTCCCGGTTACAGAGCTTCACAATCTCAGAATCATCACTGATTTTTCCTCCTCCTTACCCATCACATCCATTAGTCACCAAATTTTGTCACTTCTGCTTCCCTAACATCACATCACATCATCTCACATCCCTTTCCACACAAATGGCCACAGGCCTAGTTAAAGTCCTTATCATGCCTCACAAAACCTGGACTACTTTAATAGACTCTAAATGAACTTTCCTGTTTTTAGCCTTCCTGCTCTTAAATGAAACCTCCGTACAGCTAGCAAAATGATATTCTTTAACTATAGGTCTGACCCTGTCACTAGGATTAAGTAACAAAAACAATACCATTCTTTACAACAATAATAGCAACAACAACAACAACAAAATTTCCTCTGTTTGGCATTTTAAATCCGTTACAATTTGGTTCCAGCCTGTTTCCAGATTTTTTCACATTACTCCTCCTCACTCAGTATGCTCCACTAAAACTAGCTTATTTTCTAGTCCCTGAACTAGGTATTCTACCTTTCATGTCCCATGACTGGAATGTTCTCTTTCCTCATCCTCCCATCTGGGAATCCCTAATTCTTTGTAAGACTCAAGTGCCATCTCCTATATGAGGCCATTCATGATCCTCTTTCTTATCTCTCGGTGATACTCCACCCACTTGAAATTACTTCATATACAGTTTTTATTTAGTTATGTGCATACACGCTATATACATTTATTAGAACTTAAACTTCTTAAAATTAGGGTCTGTTTCATTTTTGTCTCTGTATCATGAATGCCTAATACAAGGGTAAATAACTACATCGTGAGTATTTAAATAAATGTTTGTTAAATAGAATTGAATTGTGGATGTAGAACTGACAGGACTTGTCCACTGTTTGGATGTAAAGGAGGAGGAGTCAAAGATAACACTAAAGTTATGAGCCTGGGTGACATGGAGAATGGTGGTGACAAGAGAAGTGTAAGTTAGGAGAAATAAGAATATAACTAATTTTTATAATTGTGAACATTTAAGCAAATCATTTTCCCCAATGGTACCACACGTATATATGTAAAAATGAATATAATAAATGCCTTTTGATAAAAAGAAAAAAGTCAGTACAAGTGAAATTTCCATAAACTATTAAATTCTTTAAAATATTCAACTATAAGGTACAGGTTTTAATCATAAGGGTAAGAAGTTTTCTTAACGTAATACTTACAGAATTCTTTAAACAATCATCATCAACATCAAAGTTTGAAGTATCTGTAGGACTACTAACTTCTGGGATATAAGGTGCTTCACAGTTACGAATATTATCCCAATCAATACCAGCAAAAAAAGGGTGGTTTTTAAAGTCTTCTATGCCATTTTGACCAAGTCGATGTTCTCTGCTACAAATGAGCCTTCGAATAAGGTCTTTAGCACTTTCAGACACATCTGTCACTTGAACTGGAAACTGAAACCTCTCCTAAAGATTGAACAACCATAAGAAAACCAAAAACAAACATTAGATTAAGAATACAAAAGATATTAAATCACCATAATCAATAATGATAGAGTTATGTCAACTAGGGAATTGAAAATATTTATATCAACAATAAATCAACAGTGCTGAACTTGCAGTAAAGAAAACATGGATTCAAATCCTACTTCTTATATTTAATTAGTTCCATGACCATGTCAAGTGAGTAACTTCTCTGAGCCTTAGCTTTACTCAAGTAGTCCTTTTCTCATAGATAATCTATGAAAGCATGATGCAAACTTTAAAGTACTACACATTAGTTATTATTATTGTTAATATATATCTAGCATATATAGATGACCATGCAAGATACTTGGCATAATACAAAGTTGAAAGAAGACTTAAAGGAGGATATCTATAAGCAAAATAACTGAAGATGAATATATAAAAGACATGCAAATGAAGTAGAATGTTTTTATTGCCTTGGAAGTTGACTCATTATCCTCTGTTCAAACCCCATCTTTCCTCCAAACTTCCCTACTTCTTGACCACGCTTCCAATTATCCAGGTTTGTAACCCTGAAGACAACACTGATTCTTCCCTCTTCCTCATCTTGCCATAACTAAGCAGCTGCCAAGTCTTGCAGATTTTACTTTAGAAGCATTTATCTCACATGTCCCCCCTATTTCCCTATTCACAAGGCTTTTACCCTAGTTTAGGCCCTCATCTTCTCTTATACTTGTATGACTGTACTTGCTTCCTTGTTTCTAGTCTCCCTTTCTCCAATCTAGCTTCTATATATCTGCCAAACTATTACTATTAACAATAAAGATGCTGTTGTTTAGGTTTCATTATTTTTATTTTTGTTATAACACCAATCTCTGTTTTAATACTGATATTAATAAGATGAACTTTTGTTTTGAGGAAAAATTTGAAGTTCCTTATAAAAGCTTACAATTTACAAACAGATATTCATTCAGCCTTCTTCTGTCTCTTGTTTTAATTATGGGCTGACCTGACTTTCCAATTTACAGTCGGTCATACATGTTTATGCATGCATGTAATAAACAGGCACCAGGTGTATCACATACATATATATGTACACATGTGTAACACATGTGTAAGATATGCATATGCATACATGCGCTTATATACAGGCATACAAAGCATTTTAGATTGCACATCAACTCATGTTATAGCCTAGACTAGAGGTGTCAAACTCGAGGCCTGCATAACTTCTGAGTAAAACAGACTGAAATGTAATTGGGAAATGTTTTAAGAAAATAAATACATAATACAATACAATGTTAATTTGCGGTTTTCATAGTCAATGTGGGGTCTGCAGGCTAGCAGGGATTAATTTCTATTTGAATTTGACACCACTGGCCTAGACAACAGGAATTCTTTATTTCAATGGATTTTTCCAGTGGGGATGGATAGGTCAGACTCTTCTGAGTTCTTATCAAACTAATATTAAGGGACAGGTCAGGTCTATAAATCTCTGATGGTTCTTACATTTCTGTAGGACAAAATATAAAATACTCTGCTATTTGAAACTCTTCATACCTCACCCATCTTTTCAGGTTAATTTCATTATTCCTCTTCAAACAGACTACGTTCTAGCTAAATTTGACGAATTTGACATTCTTATCTTCTGTTTTCATGCCTGCAACTCAGGGCTTCCTCACTTCTATAAATCCTTCACTTGCTACAAGATTGCACTTAGGTGCCACCTAGATGATATTTTCCTGGATTCCCTCAATGGTTAGGAGTCTCCCTTCTCAAATGATCATGTATTTACTTACCTGAATATGTGTTGTATTTCATGTAAATGTAAATTCCTGGAGGAGAATGGACCAGGGGACTTCAAATGACTCTCCCACCTCTAAAGCTGTACTTAGACTAAGATTAATTTGCAATTCAGTTTGACTATAACATAGAGAAGATGTAGCTTGTGGAGGGCCTTGTAAAGCAAGCTAAGGAGTTTGTACTTTATTTGGTGAGCAGATATTGAAGAGTTTTGAGCAGAGTAATGACCAAATAGGCAAGATTAGTCTGATAGTGATTGGAAAAGAGATAATGATTTAAAAAGCATATATTAAACACTTATTAGGTACCAAGCATTGTGCTAAGCAATAGAAATACAAAAAGAAGTTAGTAGTCCCTGCTTATGAGTTCACACTTTGACATCCTGAAAAACACATAAAAAAACCCCTTCAGCTGCAGGGTGAATAGAAAAAAACAGAAGTCCTTAAGGATTCAGCAAAGGGGCAGACGGCAAGGCAAAAGGTCCTTAGATTACATCAATAAGTCAAGCGATAGTGATGAGGTCTGCAGGGCATAGGGACAGGAAAGCTGGTAAGGCCTGGTGGTCCTCCACATCTCACCAGAAAGAAGAGATTTGATGACTCCCTCAACAACTAAGCCAACAGAATAGTCAAGCAGCCTAATGAGTTTTGAGTGACATAAGCTGGGGGGGAAAGGGATAAAGAGGGAATGAAAGTGGGAAAGTCTAGAGAATCTTTTCCTGCTGCCACTGATTGAATGTGTTAGATGGGTTTGGGGATACCATGGAGCTAAGGAAATGGGGGAAGGTAAAGAGAGAAGGGCACCCTCAGTGGTTGTAGTGAAAATACTAACTGTACACACTAATATTTTAACATAAGATAGTAGTGACAATGACTTGTCAATGAAGGACTACAAACTTTTGGAGTTATATATTAACTTGGTTTTAGACATATTGAATTTGCACTGCTAATGTGACATTCTGGTAGAAATATTATGCCAAAAAGTATATGTAAAGACGGAAAGCTTAGGAGATAGGACAGGGCTAGAAATATAGGGCTCACAAGCACCTGCTGAGAAGTAATGGATGAAGCTATAAATGTTAATTAGATTACCAAGGAACAGAGTAAAGTAAAGAGGTTCAAAGATAAAGCCTTGGGCAACAACCATCTTATCTCTAATGTCACTTTCAGCTAAAAAATTTAAAGTTGGTTATTTTCCTAGAAGATATTTGCATTTTTAGATAACATTATGTTATTTCATTCACCAAGGAAGTTCCAAAAAAAATTTTAAAGCACTAACTTTGTGGTTCATGATTTTCCCATATGTTTCCACCAGAGATTCTGCATAAAATGGTGTTTCTCCATAGAGCATTTCATACATGCAGACACCCAAAGACCACCAGTCGCACTCTGGTCCATACTTTCCTTTCCCATCTTCCATGGCTTGAAGGATTTCTGGAGAGATATAGTCTGGGGTTCCAACAGCCACAGAGGACTGAACCTGTAGAAGTATACAGTTTTAGTAATCTAAGAAATCCTCATACTAATGAAATTAAGACTCTTCAAAGTATTGAAATAAGTATGGAATTAAATCATTAGAAAACAGGGAAGTAATAACTCCAATGAAAACAGCCTTTATATAATACTACAGGAAGTATCCTTAGTCAAAACTATTTCCTATGTGTAAGTCCTTGGACAGAACTGGGGAAAATGCTTGTTTGTCTTAGGCATGATTTGAAAATTGTAAAAATCCTTGCATTTGAAAACTGTGTCCTCTATCCTCTGGAGGCTTCTAGCCTTCACTATAACAGAAAAGATATGATAAAATCAATAACTACATGTCATTGCAAATGGATTTTTTGTCATTAAAATAAATAGGTTTATTTTAAAGTTATATTAAAAAACTTTCTTACTGTAGAACTCTTCTTTACCCTTTACCTTTCCTAGATACTCACTTTGCCCCCCAAACCAATGGGTTTATTATTACAAAATCATTATTTGCTAACAGTATTTCAGCTTTTGTAATATTGTTTATTTGAAATAAAAAAAACCCATGTAATTAGACACACATCTATGGAAATAATCTGAATTTGACTATCATAGTCATGTACCAAAAAGGAAGGGACAAGAAAAACATTTATTCCTAAATACTGGTCACTAATACATGTGGTGCCTCTAATTTGTTCATTTTTTGGGTAAAAAGAATTGTAAAAATAAAAAAGAGCATGAGTTAGAAAAACAATTGAAATATGGAATATAAAAGAGTTAGTGCTCACAAAAATGAGACAGTATGGCATGGTGGATAGAGAAGTCACCAAGGAAGACTTATATTCAAGCCCTGCCTCTGATTTGCACATTGGTTGAGTGACCTAAAAGAGTCTGGACATATACTGGCTCTAAGACTATATATAAATTGCACTAAAAGTGCTGAACTACTTTTGTAGTTCAAGCTTAGTCAAAGAAAAAAAAAAGAGGTAACAAGACCATTCAAAACAAAACATACACACACACTCCCCCATAAAACAACACCTGGTAATTATTTTGATTACAGAACCACTAGATTGCAGGATCTCAAAAGTTCACAGAAGCTTAAAGGTTGTCTAGCCCAATTTGTACTAAAACAAGAATTCTACTTTGTAACATACCTGAGAAGTCAACTCATAAAGCCTTTGAATGAAGACCTTTATTGAGAAGGAAATACTCCCTCCTAAGGCAACCCATTCCACTCTTGAAGAGCTCTAATTGTTAAGAGATGTTTGCTTACTTTAAGCCTAAATTTGTTTCTGAAACTTCCATCTGTTGCCCCTTGTTCTACTCTCTTAGGCCAAGCAAGAGTCTCAATTCCCCTTTCTTATGATAGTTCTTCAAATAATTGAATAAGATATCACCCTCCTCTGGTTTTTCTCTGCTCCAGACTAAATAAGTCCAGGTTCTTCAACTAGGCCTTATATGCCATAATGGAAAGGCCCTTCATCAACTTGGCTGAACTTCTTTGGATGGTCTCTGGGTAATCAACCTCCTTTCTCAAATGTGGTGTTGATAACTGAATACAATAGATGATCTGCAGCCAAACCAGGGCCAGAGCAGGATTACTGCTCTTAGTAATCAACCAATAAACAAACATTAAGCAATTACCTTGTGTCAGGCACTAGGAACACAAATAAAAAATAAAGAAAGAAATAATCCCTACTCTCAATGAACATGTTTACATTCTATGCCATTCAATGCAAACTACTTCCATATAGCTAGTTTTTACAGAATCCATACGTGTGTATGACAGTACATTTATATATTTAAATGCATATTACTAGATTTGACCCAATGCTCTAACCTGTTCAATCAATTCTTATTTGTCGCAGCATTACTGTCATCTGGCTCACCATTCTCAATCTAGTGCAGTAGTTTATAAACATTTTGGTCTCAAGATCCTTTTGGACCCTACAAAAATTGAGAACTGCCCCCAAATGACTTTTGTTTATACAGGTTATAGCTATCAATACTTATTATATTAGAAATTTAAATGTTTTAATAGTATAATAAAAATTTTGACCTTGAGGGTCTCAGGTACTCCCAAGTACTCCACTTTTAAGAGCTACTGCTTTAGTGCATAAAAATAGAATGAAACTATAGCAATTGTTCTATGAAAATCTTAGCAATTTTTTTAAACAACTGGAGGAACTTCTACAACTATGGAATTTTAGGGCAAAATGATAAAAGGTAACAGTTTAGACATTTTATTTTACTTTTGGGGGGGCAGCCAGGTGGTGCAGTGGATAGAGCACTGGCCCTGGATTCAGGAGGACCTGAGTTCAAATCTGGCCTCAGACACATAACACTTACTAGTTGTGTGACCTTGGGCAAGTCACTTAACCCCATTGCCTAGCCCCCCCCGAACAATTTATTTTACTTTTTGCAGTTAACTTACTAAATATTAGATTATATGTTAATTCAAGTTTTGGAAAATTCTTTAAATAATTTCTCTCAGGGGCAGCTAGGTGGTGCAGTGGATAGAGCACCAGCCCTGAAGTCAGGAGGACCTGAATTCAAATCCGGCCTCAGACCAAACACTTGACACTTACTAGCTGTGTGACCCTGGGCAAGTCACTTAACCCCCCCCCCCCAAAAAAAATTAAAAAATAAATAATTTCTGTCTTCATTGTTCTTATCTATGTCAATATCACGAATTCCATGAAGTTATTGTTGAATCAGGAAGAAGCTTTATTAACAACATGGGAAGGCCAGGAGAGCATACATGTGAGAGCACATGTAGCAACAAATACACACCTTTTTATTCCCTATTCATCCTTTGAATTTCCTTCCCATTTCCCCATTTGTTGGGTACTGTAGAGGTTACAGCCTATCCGAAGCACCTAATTTCCCCATGTGAGTCTCCACCCCTAATTACATCTCCCACTCCCCACAATTCAGTGACACCCTTCCTCCTTCCCTGGGAACATCCATTTTTATGTTTATCTATACCAGTTCTGAAGAACTGGCTTTCCCTGGTCAGTCTATTCACCACTAAGAGTGATTTCTTATTCTAATATAACTCACTTTGTTCAGGTTCCATCTAGCCCCCAGACTGCACTCCTTTCTACTAGACTTTTTATGGAAAAAGTAGAACCTTTTTTCTCCCCATCATAACTTTCAGGTAACCCAACCATTCTTAATATTGTCTCTCTCTCTCTGATCTGGTCTCTAAATCAGTTGTTCTTCTAATGAGCTATTTCAGTCTCTTCTATTTTTTCATTCTTTTGATTATGTTTTATTATTTCTTGGTGTCTTACAACATTAGCTTCCCTTGCCAAATTCTAGTCTTTAAGGTGTTATTTTCTTCCTTAAGTTTTTAAATCTCATTTTTCCAATTTGTTGACTTTTTTTTCATAATGTTCTTGATTTTTTTGTATTGTTCTTATTTTTTTCCCCTAATTTTTCCTCAGCTTCTCAATTTCTTCATAAGATCTTCCAAGAACTCTTTTTGGGCATGTAACAATTTCACATTTTTCTTTGAAGTGGGAATGGCTTAACTTTCTATCTTCTTCTGAGCATGAACCCAGATTTCCTCTATCCCCATAATAGCTACCTTTGGTCAGATTCTTTCTCTCATTCGTGTGTGTGTGTGTGTGTGTGTGTGTGTGTGTGTGTGTGTCTGTCTGTCTGTCTGTCTGTCTGTGTCTGTGATTTTCTTATTCTTATAGTCAATTCTAGTCCCAAGGTGTGGAGGATGATGCCTCCAAGGCTGGCACTCCCAGCTACACTGTCACTGCAAATGCTCTTGTTCCTGTCAGTCCCTTTCCTGGCTGCAAACTTCATCTCACCCCTCTGCCCTGGAACCAAAACCAGGCATTTGACTCTCCTGCTAATGCTGACAGCCAGCAGGGTCCCTGCTTCTCTGCTACTGCATTCCTCACTAATCCTCACCCACCTGGGTCTGGTGTCCCACAACAGTGGAGGGTCCTTCAATCCTCCCCTGCTCAGCTATCCCACCACCACACTGTGAAGTGAAATTTCCTGAATCCCAGTTGCCTCCAGGGCTTGTTGTTTGTTAATTTAGGGGAGTCTACCTGGAGGTGTTTGTGATGAGGTATAGATTCTAGGGGTGCTGGGACTCAGAAATGAAAGACACATGGATCCTGCCCGAACGAATTCAACCCAAGTCTTCTTTCAGCCAAAGACAAAGTTTTATTAGAGATAAACTATACAAGCCAGCCTCTTAAGGAATCTGAACATTAGTGATGGCCATAAGGATGAGCAGACATGAGGAAATCTCAGTGTTTAAATGGGGGCCAGGATGGATCTTATATATACCCAAGTACTTTTGGGTGACTGGAGGAAGAGCTGGAAGAAAGATCCTGAAGCTGGGGTGAGTTTAGGGAGAATTCTAATGGGAGTATCTAGGAGGTTGAAAGGGATCATCAAGGAATAGACTATGGAGGGCTAAAGTCCATTAGGATAACAAAGAACTGGAAGATAGGGAAGGAAGAGGTTAAGACTTCATTAGGGTATCAAAGACTAGGCTTCATTAGAGTTTCAAAGGGAGATTGGGCCTAGGAGAAGGGAGAGTGAGTTGATCAGAATAAGAAATAAAGAAGGGCCAGTTGGGTGGAGCATAGCCTGGGGCAACACTTTGAGACCAAGTAGATGAGTGAGGTCAAAGAAAGTTTAAGGGTCTTCTGGGGCCCACTAACAAATTGGACCCAAATTCTTTTTGGGGTGAGGGTCAAAGGTCTTGGCTTGGGGCTCATACCCCATCATTTGCACTTTAATCCTAAAGTGGTGAGGTCTTTGCTAAAATCATCCCAAGTTGTCTTAGGAGGACAAACTGCTTTTAATTATTTCTGCCACTTAAAGTTCACTTTGAGGCTATGAAAAATGATTTTTCTTAGTAATCACTATCTTGGAAACTCAGAACTTCCCCATCCCCCTTTCCCTCTGAGTTCAGTCCTTCTACAGAAGGACTTCAAGATGTAATCTAAGTAAGTCTATTCCTGCTCATTATGT